TTACGTTTTTTCTCACATACTGACGCAGTTCGATCAACGATTCTAATTTGCGGTAAGTACTGATCTTTAGATATATAGATTTCTATTCAATGTTTCATTTCTTCGATTGAATGGCAGTATTTATGCTTCAATTGTTTTCAGACCGACAAACTTTCAATATTTATATAAGCATTTTTTTATTAAAAGAATTTTACGATCTGTTATTTTATTATTTTATCAAAATAATTTTTTTGAGCGCAATCCCTTTTGCGAGAAAAACGTTATGCATCAAATCAGTAGAAGAAACATTTTGATTTTGAAAGTTTAAAGAAATTGAATCATTTTCAAGTCTTTGCTTTAATTCTCGTGCATTTCGTCCGAAATAAACTAAATCTTTCGGGACTCTAAGAAAAAGGCAGGACCGATCATGCGTGTCATTGAATTAAAGCGCACTGTAAGAAACGAATGCATCTCGATAATTATCCTGATAATCATTTCCTTCGATCACTTTCAAGTTCGTTGATTAATCGAGAATATTGGCCGCGGAATCAAGAAGGTCAACGACTTTTTTTAATGCAATTCTGTATCAATTGTTTTTCTCACTTTTTTTTTCTTTCTCTCTATGGCCTGATCACTGTCGCGAATATATTCCGGACGTTTCTACTGCTTCCTGTTTTCATTAACATATATTTCTTCCAACTACTGTCACGTGTGGGAGTGTTATTTAAATTAAAAAACTTTAATTTAATACTTAAATACCTAAGAACATGTTAATAACTATTGAAAAAAAGTAAGAGTAGTATCGAATTACAAAAATCGTTGGGAAAAAAATCGACTTTATAGTCAGTCGAAGGATTTACATGAAAGATACACGCGAATTTTTTTGATTTGCAATTATCATAAGCACATTGCATAGAAATGATTAAAAAAAAAAAAATTTTGTCACGAAAACAAAGCTTCCTCTATGAGGAAGCAAAAAATGTTTGTTTTTGCGCGAGAAACGCGCAAGTGATCGTCTCTTACAATTTTATTGTTAGTACGATTATCTTGTCGACGCATTAACAACAGTGATAGCCGGTGGTACGTCGGTACCAACGTAACCCGTACAGCGGCAGTGGTCATTGTCAAGGCCGCCTTGCGTATCTTGCATAATGTGTATCTCGTACTTCGCATACAAATACAAATTGCCTCGTCGACCACGCAAACAGCATAATGAACAGCACAAAATTTACTTACAATTTATCATTTGATTTTTCGTCCGCGTTTTAATTCACAATGGAAGTATGCATATCTATAAATCTTCATAATTTGTCATATAATAATGCAACACAATAATTCTCGTGTAATTTGACATCTGCGTAATTCAATGCAGACCGTGACGCTATTCACACGTTTTTCCGTCGTCATTTGACCATTTAACGTAAAGAAATGATGATTAACAGACTTTATAATTTCCTTTATTCTTCGTATTGTATTATTCAAGATTAGAATTTATTTTTAATTAAAATGTTTATTTAAAATTGAAATTGTTTATTTATGTCAAACAACAACGGAAGAAGGTATATATAGCATTGATGGTTGTTTTAATCCATAATTATATCATTCAAAAGTGTTTGTCTACATTAAATAACTGCAAAAAACGTGTGAATAGCGTCATGTTCGGTGTTGAATTACGCAGATGTCAAATTATATAGGGATTATTTTAAATATACATATATTATGACACAGGGTTACAATATTTTTTTTTATTTCAAAATTTTTATTTACAACTGTGCAATAAATCAGCCCAGATATAAGATTGACATTGTAGTAATTGAAGTCTAACGTGGTAATATATTCTCGCTACAAATCATAGCGGCAACTTTTCTGCAATTACAGGGGGAGCGATTACAAATGACGCCGTCATTACGTTGTGTTGCGTGAGAGATCTTTGTTTTTCTCGTTTTGACGTTTTAATTTGTTTGACTTTGTCGATTCTGTCCAACAGAAAATGATATATACGCAAGTAATTTCAAAAATTGCGATTTTAAAGAAATAAGATAATTATCTTTGTTGTATCGAAATACGTAAAGAATTCGTAATATTCACATTTTTTTCGCGAATTCTTGGAATGTTTCCGTCTCCTCTCTGTTATAAATCGATCTACTTATATAATGATTTCACTAGATGCTTAATTGATTTTCGAAAATTTGTACGAATTCGTAAAACTTTTCACTTTTCTCAATTTGTCGCATCTGCGAGGTAAACTTTACAACATTATCGTTGCTTAAAACTTAGTTGACGTTTAGTAACACGAAGAGAGAAATTCGTAAATTTATCGCCAGATATATATAACATAAATATCTTGATGATAGATAGTAAGATAATTAATTGCAAATTAGATATATTATTCAATAAGCGCTAAATAAAAATTGTTGCCGCAACAATTATAATCATATTATTTATATAATTGGGAGTAAATTAATTTTTTTTTTAATAATTCTCTCTCAATGTTAATCGGAAATTAATTATATTACAACAATCTGAATCATTAAAATTTTTTTTTCTTTTGAACGTATACATGCGAATTCGAAATCGAGTACGATAAACCTGTTACGTGTTACATCATACGTGTGAATAACGATATCGTAACAATCATACTCAATAATTACAATGTCGTTATACGTAGTTGCACGGTCATAAACATCGAGTTGCGAGGAATTTCTAAAAACCCTTCATTACGCGCAATTACATCTATAAGATGATCGTTCTCGCATCTTGGTGTCTTCTTGCAATTAAAACTCATCTTAAATAAATTGCGCGCGGGGATTAGCAACTGTTGCGCGAGAGATAGCCAGAAACAATTAGGCGCGACGTTACGCAAGTATTCGCCCTGTTATTATATCATAGTTATACAACGATACGTATATGATTCATCGCAATCGAGTCGCTTCGAGATTTCTATGCAAATGTTACTTTTTTCGTGCGAATATTTTTTTTTGGAGACATTTCCATAGGAATCGACGTTATTATGATCGTATGTATGTGTGTGTAAGCGAGATAAAATTTTCCAACGAATCTTTCTTTACGCAATCGCGGCGCTTCGATGGCAAATGACTTAATTTCAACATCGACCTGCAAATCTTTTTCCGTCATTGCTTATCGTTATGTTTACATCCGTAACAATACGGTACGGCGATTCTTATGCAGTTTCAAATATATGATGTATCAGCATCAGGAAGTCAAAATTGTATGTCACGTCGATTGCCGTCGTCGTAATGTTGAATTTAATGAAAATTATACGATATCATAAATTGCATCTCAAATAAATTTTCGAGCTTTCTTATATCAGTCATCGCGCCATTTAATACGATTTAATACGTTTGTAATTAATCGTCATTCTCACGCATTCCGTGTACGTGAAGATTGTAAAAAATATTGCAAAAAATATAGGTATTACGATATTGAAAGTGTGAACGCGCTGCAAATTATAGAGTAAGTCCTGTCAATACAACAATCTAATATATATCATAATTGATAGCAGGAAT